TTTTTATAAATACAATAACATTAAATACAATTAATTATTTATAAACTACTGTAGTTTAATAGTTTATAACAATAATATTACTATTATTCTTGACAGCTATTAACAACATAAATATAAACTTTTTAGTAGCGATTACATAACTCTTTTAAAAGCGGAAAGAAACTTAAGTCAGTTTTCATTAAAATCGTTTCCAGTTTCAAATTAATAATATGCAAAAAGTTTAATTTCTTGATTAAATTTACAACTTTGCACCTGGATACTTCATTCGATCTATATCTTAATTGTAGATACCGTTGAAGTAAATGAACATAAATATAATACTGTAATCTATATTTAAATAAAAAATATATTAATATAGATAATTAAGCTATAATATAATATAAGTAAAATAACTCACTTTATGGCAGTTTTGTTAATGAGACTGGGTCGATTCGGATTAAACAATATAATGGCAGTTAACTATAAATATACAATAAAATTATATTTTTAGAATTTTTTTTAAAAATAAATAATACCAGGTCAATTATAATAACATCGGAGTCCCATTCAAGACCTATGTTTTCCAGGAATGTTTTGTGATTAACATAATGAGGCTTTATTTTGGATATGCAATATTTTGTGTCCCGAAATACATGGAGTTTTACCGTATGATTGTGGTTATTCTGATAATAAATCAATTACCGGTTTATACAAATATGAATAAAAACGAAAATAAAAATGCATACTATGTTAAATGACCAGCATAATTTATTAAAGTCAAAACTCAATATCATTCGCAAGACAACGATTTCAATGGACGCGTATTTAATTAAAGTCAATTGATCATGATCACACAACGATTTAAATCCATTCAAACGTTTAGCCATTTGGACATTATTTTGGAGACCATTCTCCTGATACCGAAGTATCAAATTGAAGGCATCGACAGAATAAGCGTTTATTTCATTATCACACACGTTGACCATAGGATTCATCATAACCTTCAGGGCATCCAAGAGTTCATCCAACCGATTGCCCTCTAATTCATTGAACTGATTGTTATAATCAGTGATGGGTTTCATAACAGGTATGACCGACAGATTCAAGTCATAAGCTCTTGTGGTTTTCAGTGATAATTCACTGTTTGTTAAAACATTTGGAAAGTTATTATAAATAATATCATCCGATGTCTGATGCGATGGATATTTATTGGAAGTACTGTTTTCATCACTGGTTTCCGACCGATCATTAATGTCTCGCTTTCTATTGCTTTTAATAATAGTTTTTCGCATTTGTTTTTGCTCTTCAGTTTGAAATGCATTCTACAATATTTATGGTGAGACACTAGTTATCAATTGTGGACCTAGATATTATTTTGTACTCACACTTTTCATTCCGGCTGCTAAACATTTAGCTAGGCGACATTTCTTACAGCTGTTCCTAGTGTCCACATTTATGTTACATTTATTGCCCAAAAAGCAATGATATAGTTCCTAGTTATAAATTAATTTAGTAAATTTAGTAAATGTTATCAAGAATATTTACAGAATTACCTCATTTTTCATAGCATTTCTCCTGAAGAATAGTTTACAGGCTTCACAAGTGATGGCATGGAAATGATACCCTGTTTATATAAATAAAATATTAATTATTTAATAGATAAACAAAAATATATCATAATAGAGACTACATTTAAAACAGTAAGTAATAATGACATGTATATACAGTAGTAGAGTTGAGTATAGTAAACGATTAATAAAAAAACATTTAAAAGTGTTTATGAATTCATACAAACCTGTGGCCAAATCGCCGCAAACCATACATAGCTTGTCTTCCTTTTTGTTTTTCATTTGTATAAAATTTATATCTTGCAAATAATTCACACAAATATTACCTTTGTGAGTTTGTTTAAAAATGGATAAAACTGTTATGTTCACATGACTAAAAATACAATATATCAAACTCAATTGAATTGCATTGTATTTCTCACCATATACTGTACTACTCATAACCTTGGATACTAATTATACCTAATAATTCTAATGATTTCTATTATATATTATCAATATATCAATACAATATACATTTCAATCGAGATCATTTACAAAGTATGAACCCCAGAATTTGGTGAATTCATAAATACCCTATCACATATCCAACGTAGAAATATTGCATAATGATAAGTATAATTATTAACCCCCCCACCCCCACCCCACCCCCACCGTATAAGCATGCACTTCGTGTGCAAGAATTTCTCAAAACACTATAGATTTAATTTAGTAACTAGTTTGAGTAAATTGTAGAATATATAACAATTTTAAAGTTACCTTTTAATTAAGTTAATAAGTGAACACAACGTATTGCGACATAAATAATAACAATTAATTGTGATATTCACTAAATATTTTATTTGAAAGTATAAAAGTATTTAAACTCGTAAATTTTGATACTTTTGCCAATATTTGTTTAAAGAATTATTACTAAACATTAGTAATATTAGTTATATGTAACATTATTTTGATAAATTGCATATGAACCATAAATAATTTATATATTATATTATAATTATTTTAACAATATCCAAATTCAATTAATTATCTTTTAATATAATATCTATTACATGCACAGTACATAGTACTACATACATAAAAATAACTAAATTCTAAATAGTTCAAACCTATATTTTGCCTATTAACTGTAATATATACTAATTAGTTTGATAATCTATAAGAAATTAATTAATTTGATGTAACATGTGCAGTATCATAAATAGTAAACTAATAATTTAACAATAAATAAAGTACGATTAATTTAATAGCGAGTACATATCTCCTTTAAAAGGGGAACACAACTTAAGTCCACTTTCAGTAAAAACTTTTCCATTTTGTGGTTAAGAATGTGCAGAAACTTCAATATTTCCATATACTTTAAAACATTGCTTTTTGAGAGCACTTCCGATCGATATTTCATTTGTAGGTACCGGTGAAGTAGATGTAAATAAATACATTGCTGTAACCTAGGTATTAAAAAAATAAAATTATAATTATATTT